GCAAGGCCAACCGCCGTGCTGACGGACTGGTCGTCTAAGTATTCCAAGTAAGTAAGTATTCTTCAGAAATATAGCTAAACGGCTTTTAATAGCCTATTTAACTAAATTCCTGAAGAATGCAAAACAGTAATTACGATAAGGGACCGATCCTACGACTTTTGTGAGTCCCGACCACTACCGTTGCGCTGTTTTGCTTCATAACTCCGTTCAGAGAATCGTTTAGCAGATTTGGAAGGTAGATTTGAGATCAGCGTTTGAAGGCACATCTAGGGTATACATCTCTTCTTGAATGGCCATGGCGACCTGAGAGCCTTTCCTTGCAAGTCTAACGTAGAGGAACGAATTTCGGAGAGAATGTAAATTTACGCCTCTCGTACTCCGTCTTCGCCTCTAGGGCTCCTAAAACTGAGCGCTTCCATCCAGTGAATCGGAGGCAACGTTACGGGCTGCCCCATCCCGAGCCACAACGGGCCAAGACTCTCGCCGAAGTAAGCCTCTTTTATGTAACGGCAGCAATCTCTTACAAAGAAAGGGCGCGGTGCCGCGTCTGTCGCACGCGGCTGCGAAAAAGTACGAGATCGCTGGGCGCACTCTGTTTCACACTGGAGCACATTTTCTATTCCTCGATTCCTAGATTTTCTTTTTCACTGAGATTATTGTGTGTGTTACTTTATTTCTTTATTTCCGATATCACTCTACCCTGAAATATCGGGTAGGCGCTTCACTACTCATGTTGGGATTTCATCAGTGAAGCCTGTGGTCCAGTCAGGAACTTCATCTTTCTTTTGGCTTTTTTCTATTTTTTGTGTTTTTCTCTTTTTTGTTTTTATATTGTCTTCATATGTATAATGCATGAAACCGTGTATCACCTTAGAATCGTTCCACATAATGTCTATTTTTAACGCCTTTGCTCAATTTTTCGATGGGCTGCTCTTCGTACTTATTTTCATTATTCCCGTAGGTAATCATGGCTGCTGTGGCTACTGCACAGAAGAATAGCCGCTATTCCATGTCCGAGAGAAATCTTGGGCTTATGATGGAGATTATTCGCAAGGATCCCGAGTCCTATAAGGAGGTTTGTTGCAACATTTTTTTTTCGTAAAAACCGCTCCTAGATTTTTTACAAGCTCGCATCTCTAACGTACGAGTCATAAGCTTAATGAAAGTTTTAGGAGTTCATGGAACAATTTGATCACTATCTTCATACTATGAAATTGCTTCATTTGCAACCACAACAGCACAGAATGGAGCTACAGCCACTGCTGGAGTCAGTGACATTTCTGTCAGGTCTCGCTAAACACTATCCAGGTGAAAAGACTTCTGCTTTCAATTAATTAGCGCTACCATGACATCTTTCACACGTTTTTTTTTCTTCAGAACAAGCCAAGGAGTTCTCAGCGCATTTAATAAGCGTACTTCGCGAACAAGGGAGTGGTCTTGATCCCCATGTAAGTCATTTTCTTCTGTACTCCTTTCGGCGGAAATAAATATTCTAGGTTTTTTGGAGCAAAATTTAGTAGGAAGATCTAGCTGAGGAGTGTTGCTAATGCTTTCTGACAGGTTGATATACATTTAGGTGAGGATGTCCTTCTGTAAAGCACTTGTTTTACTACGCAATCAGAATCTTATTGATCCGCTGGAGTTTATGGAAATATTTTTTGAACTTGTGAGAATTGAAGACAAACAGCTCAGGTTTGTAGCATCACATAGTTGTACACATTTCCCATGCAGCCTTCAGTTCCTCTTGTATGTTAATACTCTGTGCAGGAAGTTCATAATGTCGTCCATTTCGTCTCTACTCAAACGGCTTTACAACCAAAAGAAGAATATGAAGCTTCTGGGGAAAATACAGAATTTCTGTTTCGCCAAAATGAAAGTCAGTTCCTTTTTTCCTTGCCAGGATTTTTTCTCTTTCTATCCTCGTAATAACTCCCTTAAGGATTCCCGTGCGTATGTGTGCGCGGCTCGCACTTAAAATGCATATGATCTTATCGGAAGCGTTTCCTGGCGTGACGCGAAGGTCGAAATGATAGCCGAAACTTGCTGTCCACAGTTGTAGGACTCCAAGTTCAGGTTGTTCTATTGTTTCCTCTTGTTGGGTGCATTGAAAAGTCAGAATAAGTGCCTGTTGTATACTCCGTTCATATTTTATCCTTTAATTTTCATAAGAATTCGATTTGTTTAATTCCCCCTAATGAACGTAGGCTCTATTTTGACGATTTCTGTGTAAATATATTCTCTGTAATCATAAATAGCTGTTCCTGTGTCCTTCCGCCACATAAACGCTACGCGAAAATAGCACGACACTACGAGATGTTAACGATCGTCTCCTGGTGCTACTCCGCGCCTTCTCACTCAGCTAAAACTTTTGTTTGACTTAATTCGCAATGCGCTCCTTCGATAGAAAGATCTCAAATGAAATTTACTGCAATTGTAATGCAAAAAAAAAAAGGAAACTGTTTAAATAATAGGTGAAGTTCTTCCAGTGAGAATTGTTCAGAAAGATTCATTAGTACAGAGGATTGTTCAGTTCATTTGTAACACTGCAACATTACAGGTGACAGGAATGAAGTTTTTCTTGGGTTCAAAAAAGGACGAGGATGGAGAAAGTGAAGGATAGTGATGATGACAGTCAGAGTGAGGAGGAAGGAAAAACTATCAAAGAGGTGAAATTGGTCATTCTTAATGTGTATGTGTTGGTTTTCTCACCACTACCAACATATGTTACTTTTAGGTTATGAGTGCGTTCCGCCATGCGAAGAAGACTAGGAAACGAGCAAAAGATTTCGAAAGATCTAAAAAGGCTATCAATAAAAAGAAAAAGGCAAAGAAAGGTTTGTTTCTCAAAATACAGCAAAATTTTGTCGAGCTTCGCTCTTTGAAGACATGCACCTTCATGTTTCAGAAGGTCGAAGCAAAGAGTGTAATTTGCTCGCCATTCAGTCTTTATACGATCCTCAGGAGTTTGCCGACAAGCTGTACAGAATGTTAGAGAGTAAAAAGATTGATAAGTATGAGGTGATTTTTCCATTCATTCTAAACTCAACTGATTTCATGACTGATACCTTTATTTTAGCTGCGATTGTTCCGCATAGCGTTATGTGCACGAACTATCGGTGTGCATCGTCTGCATACACTCAGCTTCTACTCGTATCTTCATCGCTATTTGCAGCCAAAGCAAAGAGATGTAAGTGCTTACCGTTAGGATTTCGTTCAGTTGTATCATTTTTGTTAGGTGACAAGAATTCTACTGTACGCAGCACAAGCTTGCCACGAAATGGTTCCTCCTGACACTGTGGAGCAGCTTGTCCGCACTATCGCCAACAACTTCGTTTCTGACAGGTAAACTGATGGTTTAAACCACATTATTTTCGAATTCTCGTAAATAGTTCGCGCATCCTGTTAATGCGGAAGCGTCTACTCGAATTCTCGAACTGAATAGCGTATCAATTTACGAGAGATTTTTTCTCCCATTGCTACAGTCCATATCTCGAAGTCAGATTAGGCGTGTCTAGGAATTGACGTGGCCGTCGCCGCACTTGATAGAAGTCGTGTGGATAAACTGTTTCTAACATACTACGCTGGATATCAGCAAAGCATGCTGGAAGCAGCTTATCCGCGCAACTTCTATCAAGTGCGGAAGCCGCCACGTCGAATCATAGACACGCCTAATCAGACTCGAGATATGAACTGTATGTATTTCATACGCATTTTTGGTTAGTGCTTCTACAACTAGACAGTAATTTTTATACATTATCAGGGCCATCTTCCTAGGTACGGTTTTTTTAGAAATTCTCCGGAAGCTATCACTGTAGAATAAATGCCATCCGCTACAGAAGAGCTGTTAAGAGATCTGGCAGAGGTTTGAAGTTGTTTCCTTCGGATTCTTTTCTGCTTGTATTTGTATTTCCATTTTCCAGTATAAAACGTACAAGAACAAAAACGTGTCAATGGCTGCTCGCGCGCTTATTACCCTGTTCCGCTCTGTCAACCCTCGTCTTCTTGCAAGAAAGGACCGCGGCCGACCAACCGATGGTGATGACGAAAAGGAGTAAGTTTTTTTTCATCTCACAGGTCTTGCATCCTTAACGACTTGGATTTAGATTTTTGGGCTTTGCTAAACCTGCTGTTGCTGATTCTGTTCCTGGAGCAGAAGTTTTGGAAGAAGAGCGAGAGGAAACAGGCGTTATGGAGGTGGATGACGATGACGACAGTGACGAGTCTATAGAAATAAGCGGTGGGAATTTCCTCCACTTTGTTGCATACGGCTCATATTCTATGCGTGTTTTAGACGTGGACACAGATGAGGTCGATTCCGACGAGGAACCTTCTGCTAAGAAACGAGCGCTTGACAAAACTGAGAGCAATGATGAAGAAGACGAAGAAGAAAGTGAAGACGGATGGGAAACTGATGATGGTGAAGAGGGAGATGAGGTGAGATTTCTTCAGCTACTGTTATCTCCTCGAGATTTAAACCATGTAAAAAAGTTTTAGAAATTTCAGAGCTGTTTAGAGTAGACACTGACGGATTAGGGCCATGCTGTTTCGAAGATATGACTTCATTTCCTCGTGAATAATTTTTATTCACTTATAGATTTCGAACTACTCGATTTGTCCACACCTACCTAGCGCAACACCTACCTCTTTTATCATTTCTGATGATCAGACCTAAAGCCTCTGATATGAAAGAAGATTGAACCTTCGGCTATGACTGAAGATTGAATCTCTTTGAGCTTCTGTCTGCTATTTGTTATGAAGCTTCTCATTAACAACGATCAACACATAGATGCTCGAAGACGGCAGATATGTCTTGCAGCGCTAGTGTTCTCCGCGTTAGCCAGCCTCTCCACCTGAAATAGTATCCAGTATCAGATCCTTTGATAGCCTGCCAAGGAACTTCCATCGAAAACAAGAGTTACTCCCCGCCTCCTGATCCAATGAGCTCCAAACTGCTTTCTAATCTTCAGTTGCTTTACAGTGATTAGGAATTGGTGAAAACTAATAATTTTTGTGTTGCAGGAAGATGGTGACGAAGTTTGTGATGGCGACACAGATGTACGCCTTATTCCTTCTTTCCTTTTTATCTCCTAATTGAATTAGTTTTTTGTTCAGGTTTCTCATCAAGAAATTGAATCATCATCTCAGCTGTCAGGAGGGGGTGAAGTAGATCCTAAAAAGAAGGCAGAAATAATTAGTTCCAACAGAATTCTTACACAGGTAGGTATGGTTGGTTTATTGAAGTTCTGCATATTCTATTTCGTTGTGAAATTTTGAGCATTTAAGGAGGAGTTCAAGCAAATTAGGATATACCAACTGAAGAAAAAGCTCATTGGAGAGAAGCGACTGAAAAGGCAGCTTGGAAATGCGAGGAAAAACGATGATGTTAAGCT